ACAACACAAAAAAGGATCCAGAATCTTTAGATCCAAAATGACAAAGTAATAGATTGACCAATCTTTTAAAATTAGTTCAATCCAATTTATATTTTTGATATCTTTTTCAAGATCAATAAAGACAAATACTTTCTAATTAATCAAATCCCCAACAAACTTTCAGTCTTACAGATACTTAAGAAAAGGAAATCAAATATATATACTATAATCATTTGTTCAGTATACAAACTTCAAAGAAAGATATTAAAACATCTCTTTGAATATCTGCTATTAGAAAAATTAGAAACAATATATAGCAAAAAGCAAATAAAAAGATTATCAAATATATCAGTAAAGAAGTAAAAAATAAAAAAAGAAGTCTGACCTGTAACAAGTAATTAGATGGACAAATAATATAAAGAAATTTGATAATTTGATAGAAGCTTTTTCAATACTATCTGTAAATATATAGAAGAATATAAGACCATCTTCTTGAAAAAGTATCACAAAGAGTAGCTCAAGATTTCACCTGTAATTATATAGAGTATAATCAGCAAGCTTTATCAAAAGATGTGGGTAAATTTCAAAAAGGAGTTCTGAAATAGTTATTGTATCAAAATTATAAATTAGAAAAAGAAGCAAGACATTATGAAAAAAAATAAAAAAAATAAAAGATACAAGCATAAATCCAATATATAGATCAGATAGAACCAAAAGTATTGTAATACTTTCAAAAAATCCAAACCTAAAAAGTACTATAAAAAAAGAAGAAAAAAAGTATATGCAATTATTAAGAATTGAATTTGTCATAAAATCAAATGATTTAGTTTTTAACTACAGACAGAACTTAAAATGATCTATAGTAATAATCTGTAAGCAATGATTTTATTAATTAGAAAAGTTATTCAAATTAGTAAAGAAGTGAAATATTATTTCCTAGATTAATAATAAGTGAATTGGTATATAAAAGTCATAACAATTTGTAAATATTTAGTATATATACAATAAATACATACCATACTGACCTGATTTCAGATTAAAAATATATATATATATTGTATTATAGTTTGTGTTATTAATAATTTATAAATATAATTTTAATTTAGAAAAATTTATATATATGTTTATTAATCTTTTTCCTAAATTTTTAATAAATAAATAGTTTTATAAATAGTTGTTGAATTCTTAGTAAATAGTTTTAATAAATTTTTTTTTTTTTTTATATTAGTAAAGCCAAAACTTTATTGTGAAATTCTTATATGCAGTAAAGAAAACAAAGTTTCTCTAGAACTATATATAAGAAACATTTAAATGAATAAAGTATTACAATAAAAGTGTTTCTTTGTGAAAACTTTACCTTGTGATCTAGCCACCTCTTTAAAAAGGAAAAGAGGACTAGTCTAAGGTCTAACTAGTGCTGAAAAAAATTTCTTATAACTATATGGATTACTGGATAATTGACTTAAGTTTTCTATACCTACTAATTGTTTGCCAAAAATCAATATTGACTAATTTAACACCTTGTGAATTATTCACTAGAGTATTATATCTCAATCATTTTTAGATGGATAAAGGGTAAAAGAAGGGAAAGGAATTACTCATTCAAAGACCAAATGGGATCCATGGCCAAGAAGATATCTTAAAACCTTTGATGGAATTGACAAATCTAATCCTATAAGTAATATCATCTTTAAACATACAGTATACTGCTTATTTAAGAAAGTGTAAAACTTTCAAAAATAGATTAAGCCTAAAAGTGATTTTTCTATTTTGGCAAATATTTCCAACTAGTGCTTTTATTACAAGTAAAAATGGTGATAAAATGCTCAAACATTTAGAAATCAAAGGAAAAGAAACTTTATATCTTCCTTTTAATAAAGTTTTAAGTACAAGTCAAATACCTAAGAAATAGAAAAGTAGTAATATCTATCCTATTCCCAAATCCAAGCCTTGAAAATGTGATCTGAGCAATACAAGACCCATTATCCTCTTGGAAACAACTTGAAAATACATTACTAAGATCCTTACCAATCAATTATCAGCTATTTGCAAGCAATACAAAATCTTAAAAGGATTAAACTTTGCTGGATTACAGGGAGAGAGTATAGCAGAACCTATCCACCTGCTAAATAATATTTATGAAGAGACTAGAGAAAAGAAAAAAGAACTATAAATCCTATTTCAAGATACTGCAAAGGCAATGATACAATATCCCTGTACATGCTTGAAAAGGCTATCGATCGGATTCAAATTCCTATATATATTAAGAAACTTATAATGATCTCTTCAAAGACAGAAGCTGTAATATCATCTTTCCAAATGGACTATCTAATCTAATAGTGGTAGGGGATGGAATAGATCAAGGATAAATGATCTCTCTATTATTATGAAGAATCTTCTATGATTCATTTTTATGCAAGATCCAAAACAATAACAACCTGGGTTATTCCATAGAAAAAGAATGGTCTCCCAACTTTAGTAAATCTGAAGAGACGATGAAGCTCTCCTTAAGGCAGGCAGTAATTGCCTATATGGATGACATGACCTGAATTACCAAATTCAAGGAAGATATGAAAAAGATTCTAAAAGAAGTAAAAAAGTTCTATATAACAAATGACTCTCAGATTAATACATAAACAATTTTTTTTTATTAATAATATTATTAAAATATATATTGCAGTTAATATAAACTTGTTTATTTATTTATTTATTTTTTTAAATATATAATCAGTTAATATTGTATATTCATCAATTATTATAAAAATCAATAAAAATATATAGAACAATTGTATCATGGCTAAACTAAATCTTATATTAATACACTCATCAATGGCTTCAATTTTCAAAAGTGCTTTAGTCTCTAAGTACAATTTTGAAGATAATATTTTACTCTGTTATAGATTTTAAATAATACTCTTCTAATTTATCTATCATTACTAATAAGTTGTTACTACTTTTTATTCTTCAAGAAACTGATTTTAAGAAACTACTAAAGAGAAAGAAAAAAAAAGGAGGAATATCTAAAAATGCACAAATATATTAATGAAAATTAAAAGAAAAAAAAAATAAAAGCATTTCATATCCTTCAAAAAACTTTTGCTGAAAATCTCTTTTTATTAAGAGTCAATTCTTCAAAATATTCTTTTTCTTCTTGATTATCTCAAGAACTTATCTATTTATGATCTTTATTATTTTTTTGTGACTATTTGATATACTTATTACCTATTTGGATTCAATGTCTCCTTAATACTTTTTTTCTTTCAGTTTGATTTTGTATTATCTAAGTAAAAAAGAATAGTTAATAGTAGATTCCAGATTCTTATATTACTTTTTAATCATATTATATAACTCCCAATATCTTTCAGCAGTTATGCCTAGTTAAAAAAATTTACTGGTATTTGTCTCAAGCATGATATCATTATACAATATTTGAGAAAATATATCCTTAATTTTAAAGGACAGTATTTTATATTTCTTTGTTTTTTAGTCTTACAATTTAACCAGAATAAGAAAATAATTTCTTTTATATACTTAGTTTAACTAGAATAATAAGAAATTGAAGATCTCAGCTTAAACAAATAATCACCTTTTCATTACTTAGAGAATATAATATCTATCCTAATATCTTTATAATTTCTTCATTTCAGTTACACTTTATTTGAAAAAATGAAAGAGTTTGTACTATTGAGTTCTCTTTCTTTTATCAATAATATCATTAGAATATGTGATATAATCAGTAGGATTTTGTTTATATTCTACTACTAACATATTTTATGTTAATCAATTATTTTTAATAAAAGTTATATCAATTTTGTGTCACTTCAAAATTCAGGGTCAAGCTAAAGTAGGCAAAATTCCTCAAAAACTTTAAAAATTGAGCAATTTTAAGAGGAAAACAATAATAAAAATAAAAGTTATCAGGTTTGGATTTTTGTTTATCTATTCATCTACTGTAGAACATATTTAATTATATTTTTACTTTAGGCAATAGGTTTTTAGTACTTCATTATTGAGTTTTTTTTCTTTTAAAACTTTTTTATTATAGATAAAAAAGGTGTTTCTTGATTTTTCTTAGTTATTAGAAATCAAGTTTTTGTTTGAAAAAGAATATAAACAAGAAAAAAAAGTGAAAAAAGATTCTTAAAGTTATTTTTCAAGTTGTTTTAAAGAAAATAATAAGACTTTATTAGCTCAAAAGTATAAAACTTTTTTGTGAATATCTTTTTTATATATTATTAAGGGATCAGTAGAAAGTGTATCCTAATATAAACTTGTTATATTTTATTATTAATATATTTTATATTAATTAATTGTTTTTATTAAAAAAATATATGTTTGTATTATTTAAAATTCAAGTTCAAATTAAAATAGACAAAATTATTTAAAGAGTTTAAAAATAAGCAATTGCAAAAGGTAAGAATAGTATGTATAAAGTTTTCAAGATTTGAACTTTTGTTGATTTATTTTTTATTATACAAAATCTTTATCTATTTTTTTACTTTAAAAAATAGATTTTTAGTACTATATCCTGAGACTTTTTTTAAAAAAACTTTTTGCTATAAATAAAAAAGATATTTCTTGACTTTTTTTAATTATTAAAAATCAAATTTTTATTTAAGAAAAAATAAAAATAAAAGAAAGAGAATAAAAAAAACTTTTAAAATTATTTTTCAATTTATTTTTTTTAAAAAAATAAAATTTTATTAGTATAGAAATATAAACTTCTTATAAATATCTTTTTTTATATATAATATAAAGAGTTTAGAATTTTTATTTTATATAATAATTAACTTATTTTTTTATTTTTTTTTTGTTACTTATAATCAAATTAGTATAATATATTTATTAATTATTAAAAAAATTAATAAAAATATATTAGACAGTTATATTATAATTAAATTAAATCTTATGTTAACTTATTTGTCAATAACTTTTAATTTTTAAAAAAATTTAATCTTTAAATATAATCTTAGAAACAATATTGTTTTATAATAAATTTATAATAAATATTTGATAGATTGCTACTATCTTTATTTTTCAAAAAATTAATTAATAAAAAAAATTTTTATTAGAATCAACTCTTTTAAAATATTATTTTTTTCTTTGATTATCTGAAGAACTTATTCATTTACTATTTTAATTATTTTTTTATAATTGCCTAAATTACTTATTACTTATTTAAATCTAATAATCTATTTGATACTGATATTTTTCTTCTATTAAAAAGAAATGTGACTTACAATTTTTAGTTTTTTGAACTTACTGCCTGACTAAAATATGGAAATAATTTTTTTTATACTTCTTATTTAATTAGAATAATAGGAAGTTAAAGATATTAGTTTAAATAAATTATTATTTTTTTATTATTTAGAGATTTGATATATGTTTAATTGATCTTGTAATTATTTTATTTTAATAATATATTATTTTTTAAAAAAAACTTTGTATTGATGATTTCTCTTTTTTTCATCAATAATATTATCAAAATAAATAATATAATTAGTAAAAATTTATTTATATTCTATTATTAATATGTTGTATATCAACAATCACCTTTAGCAAAATTTATATTACTTCAAAATTTAAAGTCAAAATTAAGATAAACAAAATTCTTTAGAATGTCTAAAAAATGAACAACTATAAGAAAAAATAAAACAATAAGTAAAAAAGTTTTTATAGTTTGATGATTTTGCTTCAAAAAATAAGTTTTCAATATTTCACTATTGATTCTTCTTTTTTAAAATTTTCTTGCCATAGATTAAAAAAATATTTCTTGACTTTTTTAGATTACTGAAAATCAAGTTTTTGTTTGAAAAGAAATATAAACAAGAGAGAGGAAGTAAGAGAAATTCTTGAAATTGCCCTTCAAATTATTTTGAAAAAAGTAATAAAACTTTGTTAAAATATTTTTAAAAAATTTTCTTAAGTAATCTTATTTTCTATATTTTAAAAAATATAAATTTTTATTTTATTTTGTTTATTGGTTATCAAATTATGAGTAAAAATTATAAGTCAATATTTAATCAAAGACTTTTGCACCATGCTGTATATACTGTATATTTCGACACAGTTGCATCTATCTATTTATTATCCAACGATAAGTGTTTTCAAAAATGGTCGGCATAAAATAATCAGTGTAATGACGGTTGACACCAAAAGGAAAGAATACTATATAAAGATTCAAAAAAATTTTTGCCTTATAAGAACAAGATCAATGAGACAATAAATTCAAATGGGGTCCTTTTAACGTCCCTCGCATAAAATTAAAGTCATTTCATGCAGAAGATGTTCGGTGTTGGTTATTGTTTACTCCAAATGGAAACAAGATGTTGTGTTCGGACGTTACGGCGGATTTGCATAATATTTTACAAATATTTGAATTCTTTATTGATTCATTAAAGATTTAGAAATCCAAGAGAGTCCGAGTTTCGTATCACATATTTTCTTAACCATATTTCACATTACACATATACAACAAGTATGGCCATTTCTATTAACTGTACATAAAAAAAAAAAAAAAAATGGCCCCGCCATTTATGAAAATAAAGAAGAAAAGTTCATGGTCTACAAAGAAAAAGAATCTTTTTTTTTTTTTACAAAATTTCCATGTCGAAATCAAATTCAAGACCCATCGCAATCACTTTCTTGGTCGGGATACAAGGACATCAAGATTTCAGTGTTCAATTCGTGGTACATGGAATATTCAAACTTGTTTTTAATGATATCCTTGAATCCTTTTGTTTTCCTAATTTCTTCGAAATTCTCCACCACGTAAGGCATCATAATCGCTTTCAATTCTTTCCACCTCCAAGCATATTTAAATAACATCTCGGCTGCATTCTTTCTATCCGTCTTTAAAGTTAAGTTTGATTTTATTTCGCTTTGCAGGTCGGTCAAGAGATACTTGTCCGCTATACTATATAATTCCCAGATGTCTTGATCTTCGCCGTCCTCGTCGTCACCACCATCTTTACAGATTGGTAATTGATTGGTGTAAAGAAAATTTAACATTTGTAAAACGGTCCGATACTTGAAATCCGTGATGTTGATCTCGTATTTGTAACGCCGTAAAGTCGGCGATGGTGATCGCGATACCGAAACTTCGCTTTTATTAGAGGAGAAAGATGAGGGTGGTGAGGTGCTAGGATTTGAAACAAGATCGTCAGTCATCATTGGGACATCTACATCGCGATTACATTCGGCCCATTCACCCTCGAAAATTCGTTGGAAATATTCTGATCTTTTGGCCAGTATTGTGCTACTTGCGTATATCGTTTGACCTTGAACATTTATTTTAACATTGGCTTTGTCGGGTCTGTCTAGTTCGCTTGACCACGCTGATATTAGATTTTCGGGAATTGGTTTTGGAAACGGCGGCTCAATGAAGTCCTCCACAAATCTTGTACTACTGAATTTTACACCAATCACGTTGACGATATGAAGAGAAACCCTTTTGCAAAAATTGTCTACGCCTAGGTGATCGCCGTCGACACGGGGACAACGCGGATTAGAATTTGGGCTGAAATCGTCGAAAAAAATAAAATCGTCTTTCGAAAAAAAAATTTTTACCTTCGACAATCGATTCCATCTTCAGAATATCAAATTCCTTATATATCCTTCCATCTGACCTTTTAAAGTAAAGCTTGGCTGGTAGACACCTGTTCCAGTTTGAATCGATTTTCTGTTTCTTGCATATTGACACCAGGTAGAAGGAACAGTAATCGGGGTTCACAGTCGATATCTGTCCATTGGAGAAGTCGACTATGACATTAACATCGGAAAGTTCATTATGCACAATTTGTGAAAATCGTTTAACCTACGGGATTGTATTCCAACTGCCAAAAAGTATCTGGGGTGGTGGCAAAGGGTGGAGAGTATTTGACCGAGTTAAGGGAAAAAAGGTCTTTCATTTCGAACTCGTAACAGCAAGCCATGATAGTCATTGATAAAAGAAATCCAAAGCTTTTTTTAGATAGTATTTAGTAAAATTCTATTACAGTACTTGAGTATTATATGCAAAATTCCACCGCCACGTCTATTATATCGACACGTCATTTAGAATAAGGAATATAGGATTTTCACATGATATCTGTTGTCATCCTTGTTTGTTATGATGCAATCTAGTGATATTACCAATTCCGTTAGTCCGCCGACACGTGATCATAGTATGGACTAAAAATGATCGCATCAATGATTCTTTTTTTTTGAGACAAATGAGAGTAGCGATCCCTGCTTGTTTCCGATTTCAAAGTTCATACCAGATCGCGGCAAACATAGCCTTACCAAATCCACGCAGAAATTAGCTCCTTTTCGAATAATAAAGAGAATGAATCCATTTCGGTTATGGAAAATTCAATTAAATTAAAAATTTGGCAAGAGTTACCCAATGTCCACAATATCCAACAATGCAGCGCTCTATTGTGCAATAATACGTAATTATCTTCTCATCTGATGGACCAATTGGAAACTTAAAATTTCGTGTATTACATGCGTCAATTATATTTTATACATGTACTCGGACCAGAAAGGGAAATTTGACCGCAATAAAATCTCCCGGTCATTCATTGCATTCATATTGCGCGGTCGTGTATATTGCAGCGCAATAAAGATGCGTTTCTAGCTTACAGTGTGTTGCCTTAAGTGTCGAAAAATATAATTGGTCAATTCGTCTATCACGTCCGACCGTTAGATCATTGCCTTTTCGCTCCTCTTTACTTTAAAACCTCTGTTGTAGATACTGTAGATATGACCTGTTTCAATTGCGTCCATTCACTCCTCTATATCCAATCGTCATCGCGGATACAGTTTTATTATTTTACAAATAAATACTTTCATCTGATTTTGCGAATCATTTTCACATATATCGGGAAAGGTGGATCAAGAAGCGTAATTAAAGTGCAGATTGTGCGTACTTATTTACTGTATCTTTATCGATCCACCATTATACACTGCTTAAAACAAAAAATTGCGTGTTCGCGATCACGTGATCTCGTGTTTCGTGGAATATCGCTAATGCGGTACCATTGTTTTTCTTATCATTATTTTTCATGCGGCGCCTTATCTTTTTATAGATACCGCACGTAAAATAAATTGGGTTGTCGTACATTAATTTTATCCATCATTCTTAATTAGATGAAAATTTCATGACTAAATGTTGTCTATTTGAATTGATAACCTTTGTTCCTCGTCTCTCACAAGACCTGGCATTTTGTGGGCTCATCTTGAACATATTGTCATTAAGTGAAACTCGGGTCACGTAAGACTTGGGCTGCGGACCTGGGTCACGCGAATTTCGAGTTGCCCCGCAGTATTGATCCCGTGATGTTCGAAGGCACGCGTGTAACCAACCCGAGTTTCAACAACCGAATCATTAATTATTATTATTGTTATTATTACTGTATATTATCATTAATTATTATTATTGCTATTATTATTATTATATTATTATTATTATTATTATTATTATTATACAGTATTATTATTCAGAGGAGGACCATACGAATGGAGCTTCGGTAATATTTAGCATCACGTTTATCAATGAAGTTAATAAACTCCGCTGAAATCACGTAATAAGCACCTCAGCAGGTCAGTTGACCAATCATTTATTCTTGAGCTATTCTTGAGCGTACTACACAGTAAGTTGCGAATTAGGAATCCCTGAAAATTAACTCAAAGGAACAATCGACAGGTACCACGTTTTCGAAGAATATACGTTCTCACGGATTTTTATTTGTCAATGGTTATTACATATTTGCTTTTCGTTGATTATTTCATTTGATATAAATGTTAGATAACGGTTTGCTGCTACATCATGTTATAAAAATATACAGTAAAATTAATGAATATTCATAGTAATCATTTGAGGAATTCTTGCACCGAAAATTGTGCTCGTGAAATTAATGAAAAAAAAAAAAAATTTTTTTTTTTTCTTTTTTTTAAAAAAGAAGGAATGAAAACTTAATGCTGAATTATGAAGTGTGAGTGCGAGTAAAAAAAAAAAAAAAGAGAAATATTTACAAGTTTAAAATTTTACAAAATACTGAATGGTGGTGGGTATGCTTATTTAATGTGGTGGTGGTGGTGGTGATTATTATTATTATTCCTTCCCAGAAAGAAATTAGGTTACAAAATGAAGGTTTTCCTCTTACGATCCTTTGTTCCCTAGAAGATATGCGATAAAATGCGTCAAGCAATTCACGCAAACATGCCTTCACAAACTGCGAATTTTTCATCGCGACATCTAATTTCCTGAGGTCAGGTGATTGCGAGTTTTGCAAATAGCGACGACTATGTAAACATAAACCGCCGTGATGAAGATTGAATTGACAAGACATCGTCTACCCCATACTCTGGTTTTGGGGTCCCGACCAAACAGACAATATGCCATCCCGATATACCAAAGTGGCCATATCAAGAACCCGGCGATATACAACTTCTTTGTGACTGGCCACGGTTCTTGTGGTTCGACGGGCACGAGGTCCCAAGGGTGATCGGGTTGCAGTTGTTTGCCCGGCTTGCTTGGATACTCTGGTGGTATGTCCACTTTCACGTGATCATAGGAAGGCAACGAGTTGTCTTCGGGAGGTAGAGCGTTATCAGGGGGGGTGGGTGAAGTTCGCGGGATAGTGTAGACAGGAGATGGAACTGTTGGCGTCGATTCATTGTTGACGTTTTCCGAGTAGGATGGTGGCGAATCGATCGTCGGATTTTCGGATGAAATCATTTTCTAACTGTTTCCGATTAAGAAATTTCGCAAGGAGAGAACGACGTATATGCAGAAGAGAATTTGATCGTAAGAATTTTATTTAACATGAAACCGAAATTTTTTGGAGTAATATTTATAGGAATTCTTGTTATGATGAACTGCGTTAGGAAGAAATTTTGATAATTAGAAAAACAAACAATATAAATTTGATGGAACAATGAGATCCGTATGCATTTTCGTTATCAATTATATGCATAATCTACATTAGACGTCACCATGCCATATAATACAAATTTTAAAAAAATTCGATCATATAATATGTTGACGATAATATTATCGACACCCAAATTTTACATTGTTCCAAATTTGGATGTCAAGCTTTAACAAATACCGTGATAAGTCTCACAGATCCACTATTTCGGACATGAAGTTAGGCAAGAGACAATACGGTGAGATGATTTGCACGTATTCTTGAAAATGATCATTGCCCGAATAAGAAAATATTAAGAAAAGAATCACAATTCTATAAAAAAAAACACATTTCGTTGCTATTATCCTTTAGAGCGCATGTACAATAATATGCCTGGATGTATTTAAATGTATTTCACCACGCATCCACCATAATCCAACAAGATCAAACCAATGGAATACACCAATTGCCGTGTAAATGGTCGCGGAGAATGTCAAAGGCGATGTTAATTCGTCAGGTTGGTTTTTTGGAATTTAAAAAATGGAAACTTTCAAAACTTAATAATATTGTAAATCCTAAACCCAATAGCCCACCACGTATAGCACCATAGTTCCTAAACAGGCATTTATACGAGTATTGGGCCATGAACAATAGATTATATTTTCGATTATCCTTTAAGGTATCGTTGGACTTTGAAGGTGAGTGAAAACATTAATGAACGACGATAAGAACTTACCTTTTGTGGTCGCATCCGCGTCGTGTTTGCATAACCCTTGGCATGATTGGAATGTGTTACCCACACATCCATCTTTTGGTCGAAAAATATATCGTTACCTACACGTGACAAACAGATTGCTTACAAGTAAGCAAATGATCTACCAATTTTTTTTAATTGTTTCGTTCACGCGATCTAGCATTGTGCCTATAAAGTGATAAAGTGAATGAATTTTCGTTGTGTAATTCTCAATTCAGCTTTCCTCCGTACTTTGATTGGATCGAGGTATGGACATTGTGATGATCACTTCCTGAATACAATCTCAAGTTCAAGTTTTCAACTATTTCACGAGTTCACTCCTGCGAACAGCACGTCGGCATTGTTAAATTAATCAATGACATCCGATTTTGTTCATGTTAGCATATTAGAGGAGGCATGAACGAAATAAAGCCGTCTAAGAATTTCTGGAACACGGTCAAATTTGGACAGTTGCTTTTGATCAAAAAGCTCATCTTCATGACGCAAAATCCAAAATTTTCTTCTTTTGGAAGACTCAAAATTCTCGTTAAAGTTGATGGGAGTTAGGCTTGGTTAAGAATCCGGCAACAATTGAATGCCTTGGAATTCTTTAGATCTCTATATTCGATTTGATTTTTTGAATTTTTTTTTTTTTTTAGAGAATTAAACATTCGATTCGCAAGTGATTTTGGCCATTCCTTTTTCTTTTTAATTATTAAACTTACCGGTTAATATTAAATGTCCAACAATAATTACAACTAGCTGAATTAAGCAGTTACTGGTTATGCAGGGGTTAACTGAGTCGACTTAGTTGATATATACAGTAATTCGTTCGATTTAATTCATGCATTGATTGGATAATTTTCTATTATTATCTGTGCATCACATATTCAAGCTATTCCTATTAAATGAGAAAGCAAAGTATTTATCAATTATTCTAAAATGATAATTTTTTTGATTAGCATAAATTATAAATCATTTTTTAACATATTGGCTTAACCTTACTTTTACTACATTAGCAGAAATTATGTCATTCGGCTACCAAATTATTGCCAAATTTGGCAAAATGTAATAATAAAAAGATTGATGAATTATTTATGATTGTTGTTACTTGGCATAAAAAATATTAGCAAAAAATCAACAAAAAAATTTTAGTATACTGCAACAAAAAATTTGATACAAAATCTGATAATATTGTGGCAAAAAATTTTTTTTGCATGCTACAGTAAAAAATTTGACAAAAAAATTGATCTGTAGTAAAAAATTCAACAAAAAAATTGATACTGTGACAAAAAATTTAGCAAAAAAATTATTGTGGCAAAAATTTAACAAAAAATTGATACTGTGGTAAAAAATTTAGCAAAAAAATTACTATGGCAAAAAATTTGACAAAAAATTGATACTGTGATAAAAAATTCAATAAAAAATTACTGTGACAAAAATTTGACAAAAGTTACAAATCTAGTATTGAAATTTGATAAATATTTAAAAAGTTTATCAAATTTCATAAAATTTATTAAAAAATTACAAAATCAATTGATTAAATTATTTGTCACTTTTCTCTTCCTTCTCTTTTACCTTTTTCACTTGTTTTTCTTTTCTCTTTAAAGATTTTAGTTTGACTTTTTTACAATAAAACTAGTCCCAATTAATTTTATTTTACTAAATGTTTTTTGAGATTTTTTGCTTTTTTCTTCTAACCTAATTGTCTCAAATTTTATTTATTCATATACTTTCCTCTATTTATTCTTCATTTTTTGAATATATCAATGATTTCTTATATTCAACAATTTTTCGTCTTTTGAATTTAACTATCAATTCTTTACTTTTTCTTATATCTTTTCTTGTTTATGTTTTGAAATCTCTTCAAAACTATATATCCAATTTAACAAGCCTTCTGATAATATTATGTCATAGAAATATAAATTATCATAATATCATTTATGAGTTAGCTAAAGCACTTAAATTAATTTTAAATGTTCATTCAAATATTTCAACAGATCTTTTAACTATAAGTAATTATAATTAATATTTAATTATTCAGCATAAATATTTTATTGAAAAATACCTCTTTAGAATATCAACTATAATTATATATATTTATTCTTTTTTTTAGTAGAATTTTTTAGGTTAGTCTTATATTCTTCAAAGAAACGAACTTTTGTTTTTTTAATTATATTAATTAATTCATTCTGATATTTGGCAACTTTCTTTGACCTTTGTTCAATAAGAAACTGTGTATTTTTAATTATTTATACCCTTTTTTTAATTATTTATTAAAAATTAATACTTATAATATAAATGTAAAATATTATTAATCATATTTCATTTAATTGGTTATTTGCATATAAACAATAATTGTTCATTTTCAGTTTTCTAGTTTCTGTTTTTCAATATTTTCCTTTCTAATGGCAATATAAAATCTTAACCATTCATTTATTTGTTTTAATAAGGGATTAAAATGTGAGGTCATGAATTTTATTAATTCGAGTATTCACTTTTGTAATATTTTTTTATTCACATCACTTAAAAAAACTTTATTTACCTCTAGTTTATATTTATTAGGAATAGTTTTCATTAAGGTCTTCATTTCTGCTATTACTTCTTCTAATTTCAATTTATCTTCAATAATTAGTTTTACTTCTCCTAGATTAAATTTTTTTGTATTTTCTTAAACTCAGCAAACTTTCAGATCCTGATATATTGGCTGCTTTAGATTCTACAATTACTATAGAATAAAGTTCAGGTTCCACAAATTTGAGAAAATTAATTTCCTTTTTTAAATCTTTTATTTCATTTTTTGTTATTCTAATTCTTTAGAAAACTTGCCATTAATATATTTTATTAGATCTAATTGTTTTAAATTTTCTCTTTCTAGTTTTTTTATATATGCATATAACACTAGTCAAAATTGTGTCATTCGGTAGTTGAATTATTGCTAAATTTGATTAAATTTAATAATAAAAATATTGTCAAATTCTTTTCGATTGCTACTATTTGGCATATTACTATTTTGGCAATAAAGTGGTGATCAAAAATTCAGCAATCAAAAATTTGACAATCAAAAAAATCGGCATACTAACAATTTGTCAAAAAATTTATTAACAATTCATCAAATAATTCATTAATAATCTAACAATAATTCTTTAACAATTCATTAAAAATTTGTTATAAAATTATTTATTAACAATTCATTAAAAATTTGTTACAAAATTATTCATTAACAATTCAATAAAAATTTATTAATAATTTGTAAAAAATTCATCAAAAATTTATTAACTATTCATTAAAAAATTTTGCAACTATTCATTAAAACTATTTATTAAAAATTCATTAACAATTCATTAAATATTTGACAAATATTTATTAAATTATTCATTAAAAACTCATTGACCATTCATTAAAAATTTGGTTACTATTTATCCAAAAATTTATAAAACTTGTAAAAAAAATTATTCATATTTATATATTATTTGGTATTATTTACATAATAATACATATTTTTTTTTTAACCCTCTGCTAGGCTAGTTATGTGTGCTTTATTAA